TGTATTTAACTGTTTTTTTTTTCAAACAAATACCACAGAAACCATAAAGTTCCATTTTGCTATGATAGTAAGGTGCTAGGTTATAGGCTATGCCTGGTTTTATCTGCGGTTATCATGATCTAAATGCTTGATAGTGGATGACCAATGGTTCATTTTAATAAAACTCAAACAGTCAGAAGACTCAGAATATTACATTTTACCAAATAAAAATTTGGACGTTACATTTAAAAAAAAAAAAAAAAAAACCAGATTTGACTGTTCCCTTTCGTAGTCACTCCGAGTTACGTCTGATGACGGAGAATGGGGGTATCGCATAGAAAGCCAATCCTCTTTGAGTATTAAAAAACGAGCCAATGGCATGAAAATGCCTTGGGTCTGCGGAATTTGCACAGCGTATCTCCGTGGTGGGTATAAAAGGAGGAAGCAAACGCAACTGCAGTATGTTTTCGCTTCGGAGCCAAGAGAACTTCTTCACTCCACAAGCCACACAATCTGAGTTTACTACGGTGACTCACCTCTTCGAGACGAGTGAACTCTCTGGTGTTGGTGTGACGGCGGTACCCAGCGAGTTTCACATTGCCTGCGGTCTGAACAGAGGTCTGCCAGTGTGTGTGTCTCTCCCTGGTCACTTCAACATCCGCTGAGTTTTCTCCTCTCACTGAAAGAGTGTGCACTGAAAGAGTGTGCACGTGGCACGTCTTTTTAAAGACGCGTCTTTTTGAAGATGATCTGCCCGTGTATTCCTGAGTGCGGTATTCTGATAGAATCAGCTGATGGGCGCGAGCGCTGTTTGACGTGTTTGGGCTTTGATCACGCTCAGACAGCGCTTGTGGGTGTGTCACGTTCTCTCAGTGGGAACGTGATCATCGCAATGTATAACGGTTGAGACTCAATGAGCTCAGTAGAGTGAGAGTCCCCTCATCCACAACCTGAACTATTTTCTCCACGTGAGATAATACTTTGGCTGGTGGCCAGGGTGACCAAAAAGACGCCAGGTCTGGAACTAAACCGACGAAATTCTCCGGTCCATACCCCGTCTTTCACGTTGCAACCCACGTGGTCCAGAGTGAGTGGGCGGTGCCCGTCCGCGGGCCTGCATTCTCATTCGGTCCCCCAGCTGATGAAATCATGTTTATCGCCGCATCACAAGGTGAGCTGGAGTCCTCTGGAGATGGCTCGTCTGTGCTGCTGTCCTCGGATGTGCTAGCATAGCGAGTTTGATTCAGGGTTCACAGCTATGCTTCCCGGGCTGCCACGAGTATCCGGTTTGTGTGGAAAATTCTGCCATATCTCGAGCACTTAAGGCTGATGATTGGTTTTTGTGGGTGGCGAACCTAAATCCTTTCTTCCCGGATGTGCATGAAGAGGCCGTGAGATCGTGGAAGTCTCCTTTGACTTATCACGATCACTCAGCGGCCTCTTCCGCCTTCTCTGCCCTCGTAGAGGCCACAGTCTAGGGTGCACTGGGGTTCCCCCCTGTGGAGTGTTCTGTGGCAACACTTATGTGTCCCCACGGTGCCTCCACCTGGCGTGGCAGCCCTAGGCACCCCTCCAATGCCTGTAGGTTCTTGTCTACTCCAGTGGCAGGGACCTATAGAGCTGCGGGGCAGGCTGCCATCTCACTGTATGTTATTGTCATTCTCATGCAGGGACGTGCACAGGAATTTTGAGGGGCAGTTGCTCTATATTCAGTTGAATTTGTCCCCTTCCAAATTGCCTTATCTGGCCGTGTTTATTGTCCAAACGCAATGCCTCATCTTATGGTCTTATAATTATTTAAAAAGATTGCAAAATGTCAGAGATGAGACAAATGAGCAAAAGAGTTCATCATATTGTTGTTTATTGTTTTTTAAATTATTTATTTATTTATTTATTTATTTGAAAAGAAATAATCTGGATTGAATGGAAAAAACTCGAAAAAATAAAAAACGCTTAGATTTCGGGAAAAAATACAATTCTTTTTTGCCAATCCTGACCTCCCCCTGGGGCCCTAAGCAAAATTCTAAGGGGCCCTCTATCTGATCTGTGATGCCGTGAGCCATGTAAACCATTTGCCATTGCCACTCAATACCGCCCAATACAATCCTCCCTCCTTTAAACAAAACAGTCAAAGAATAAGTACAACAGTATAGAACAGAATGAGGTTCAAACAAACAATATTTACTGAATAAAGCATTTTTATAGAATGTTAAGATAACAAGTGAATATTAACGTAAACATAAACAAGAAGAAAATAATAAATTACAACCCTGAACTTGGCTTTTGGGATTAACTTTGGTTCTCTCTACAGCCAGGGTATTTTCGGAATCAGTAGCCTATGACTTTTATTTAATTTTTTTTTATGCATGTTGAAGCAAATCTTGATTTATGGTTATTTATTGAGGGATTTGCATTCGTATTGACCAGAATGTCCATCTAATCATCATTTTAAATTCAATATAGCCTATAAATCAATAGTCAATCAATGTCAAATTGCCAATACATTGGTTTATATCTTGCTTAATTAGTGCAGTTGTTTAGAGTTTTTAACTACACTGAGACTAGATAATCAGTGTCTTTTATAATGTGTACTTTGATTGGGAGTGCCATCATTCACGTATTGTACAGTATTTCTCTGGTCTCCACATTTCTGCTTGAAAAATGCGAGTTTCATTTCGTGCACGCGCATATGAACGCAACACAGGCGACGCGGTTATGTTTTCCGAGCTGCAGTAAACAAAGACTGTTGTTGCACTTTGTCGTTTATCAAAAACAAAATGTAATAAATAATGGTATTTTACTCTCACTTTTGTCAGGCAAAAAGTGATGCAAGAGATGCACTGCCTGCCCAGACAAACCATCAAACTTTGCTGACACTAGAGAGGAGAGAACACAAGTTTACCTGACTGCTGTTCCCGCAATTCACTCTCATGTTTTTCTTCTTCCTCTTTTCGTGACGAGAAGGATAGTTTCGCTTCATTTTGTCATGGACTTCGTACTTATTAATTAGCGCGCGACACGAGATGGAGGTGCGGCCTGAGTAATTTGCGGTTCCTTACCATACGCACCGGTCGCGTGCAGTCTATGGTCTCGTGGAAACAGTTTGACTTTCACTTTTTTTTTTTTTTTGGAAGTGAATGAGACTTTGCGATTTTTATATTGTTTTTTTTGTCTAGGCCTACGTGAAATTCTACATCCATTGTACGATTTTTTTTTCCTCGGAAGGGCAACCTGAGTCAAGAAGGGCAAATGGGTAGTTGCCCGGGCAACCTGAGCAACCCCCCTGTGCACGTCACCTGTTCTCATGGGTGTTCAATGACATACACGAGGATAGGGCTGATTCAGGGCTCTTCCTTGAGCTGCCTGCCATCACCGACCTTGCTCTACGAGCGACGAAGGTGACCGCATGCTCCCTAAGTCAGGTGATGTCCACGCGTGTGGTCAGACATTTTTGGCTTAACCTGGTCGATGTGCGTGAGGCTGAGTGAACCAGTTCCTCAACTTTTACCATATCCCAGGCTGGTCTCTTCAGCGGCGCGGTCGAGAACGCTGCCTAACAGTTCTCGGCCGTCCAGTTGCGGACTGTGGCTTATCTGACCCTGCGGTTTCTGCTGCTACTAGCCGCCGGTTCAGATGCTTCAGTCCGCTTGCCGCCAAATGCGCCCTCCTGCGACTTCCGCCCCCTCCCGTCCGGTCCCAGCAGCACCGGGCCGTGCCGTGGATGTGGTCGTAGTAGGGCGCCCCTGCCCGTACCAGCCCTGCAGCCCCGCTGCATCGCTCCCGTTACAGGCAGCTCAGGTATGGCTTGCAGTTCTTCAGGGAGTGGTCGCAGGCCCACTCCTTCCCCCGGTGGAGGGCTGGGGGAGAATCTTTTCTTCAAATAGCTGCATTCCATCTCTGAGCACACAGAGCAAGATGAAAGTGCGCCCCGTGCCTCGCCACTCTCATTCTCCTCTGTCTCTGAGGGTGCAGATGGGAGTGTGTGTCGTCCCTGGACCATGCCGCTCCCATCCCCCTCTATCGCCAACACCCGTGCAGCGCTGGTCCTTCCCTGGTCTCCTCTGTCGGGGCGCGGAGCTCGACCGTGCACCCGGGGGGGGGTAGCACCTCCGCGTCTGCTGGTCTCTCCGCCCCGCTGCCCCTCCGGGGGGACGTCTGTGGCTCGGTGATCCCACTGGATCGGTTCTGGGAGCTTGGTTAGAGCTCCCCGGCCTGTCCCACTGGGTCGCCCGAACGATCAGACTCAGCTATGCGACTCAGTTCGCACGATCTCCACCCCGTTCCGGGGAGTTCGCTTACAGTGCTCGGTGGCTATGATCATCCCATTGCGCCCGATCATGAGAGTGGAGATTGCCGCCCTGCTGGCGAAGGGTGCAATCGAGACTGTCCCTCCAGCCGAGATGAGGTCTGGGTTTACAAGCCTTACTTCATTGTCCCCAAGAAGACTGGTGGGTTACAACCGATCCTAGATCTTCGCGTTTTGAACCGTGCTCTGCCGGTCAAAATGCTCACGGCCAAATGCATTTTCGAGTGCGTTCGGCCTCAGGATTGGTTTGCAGCGATGGACCGGGAACTGTACTTTAGGCCTGTACTTTCATTTCTTCATCTTACCTCGACACAGACCGTTTCTTCAGTTGCGTTCGAGGGAGAGGCATATCACTACATGGTTCTCCCATTCGGCGAAGATTGTCGAGGCAGCCCTTGTTCCCCTTCGCGAACACGAGGTTCGCATCCTGAACTACCTCGGCGATTGGCTTATCCTAGCACACTCTTGAGAGCAGGTTTGCGAACACAGAGAACTTGTGCTACAGCACCTAGGCCGTCTGGGCCTTCGGGTCCATCGGGAGAAGAGAAAACTTTGGCCCGTGCAGAGGATCTCTTTTCTCGGAATGGAGATAGACTCGGTTGCCATGTCTGCGCGGCTCACGAGCGAGCGCGCGCACTCACTGCTGACTTGTTTTCGACAGTTCGAGGGCAAGAGCTTGGTCCATCTGAAACTCTTTCAGAGGCTCCTGGGGCATATGGCATCCGCAGCTGCGGCGACGCCGCTCGGACTGCTTCATATGAGACCGCTTCAGCTTCACCTGCCATCAGACCTTCCTGTGGACGAACCTCAGCTTCTTAAGGGCCGCAGCCCCTCTTCAGCAAGTTTCCAGGCATGTTGTTGTCTCCACAGATGCATCTGCCACGGGTTGGGCAGCCATGTGCAATGGTCATGCGGCAGCAGGGTCCTGGACAGGGCCCCAGCGCCTCATGCACATCAATTGCCTCGAGTTGTTGGCAGTACGCCTGGCCCTGCACCGCTTTCCAGCACTGCTCAGGGGTCAACACGTACTTGTCCGTTCAGACAATACCGCAACAGTAGCGTACATCAACTGCCAGGGTGGTCGCAACTCGCACGCCACCTCCTATTATGGAGTCAGAAGCACCTGAGGTCCCTTCGTGCTATTTACATTCCAGGAGAGCGTAACCTGGCAGCCGACGAGCTGTCACGGATCCGGACTGTCTCCGGCGAATGGCGACTCCATCCCCGGTCGGTCAAGCTGATTTGGGACCAGTTCGGGGAGACACAGATAGATCTGTTTGCTTCCCCCGACTCATCCCATTGCGCCCTGTATTATTCTCTGACCGAGGGCACCCTCGGCACAGATGCATTGGCGCACAGCTGGCCACGGGGTCTACGCAAATATGCGTTTCCCCCAGTGAGCCTTCTTGCACGGACTCTGTGCAAGATCAAGTGGAACCTCTTGAAGTGGAACCTCTTCGTTGACTGGTGCTCTTCTCGCCGAGAAGACCCCCGGAGATGCTCGGTCAGTGTCGTGCTTTCCTTCCTGCAAGATGGGTTGGAGCGAAGGCTGTCTCCCTCCTGAGTCCTCCAGCACTGCTGATGCTGGCGCCAGTGTCTTTGCTCTGGACGTCGGCTAGGTGCCTCCGTGTGTATGGTTCCCTCCGGTAACTGTCACATGTGTATTCTCCACTGTAAGCCTCTATGAGCATGTGTCTTCCCTCGGCAAGCCATCGTGCCACTCCTGGAGTTAAGTTTCAAAGCCACCCCTAGGTTGGTGTTTCCAGTGTTCCCCCATATGTATTCCCCTTGGGCCATATTTGTATTCTTAAGTCCTCCCTGCGGGTAGGCGAACTGTGGCATATTCCCCTATATGCTCCCCAGTGTACCTTGGTATTCCTGTGTTGAAGTAGGACTCCCTGTCCGTAAGTAAGTTGACAGGAGTTCAGACTTTCGCAGGGCACTGGAAGACAGCTGTGAAGATGGCGTGATGGCACTGACCCCCATTCTCCGTCATCCGACGTAACTACGACTACGAAAGGGAACGTCTCGGTTACGGATGTAACCCTCGTTCCCTGAGTAGGGAACGGAGACGTTACGTCTCCCTGCCACTTTCGCTGTACCACTGGGTAGGGTTGCCGCAGTGAGGAAAATTTCCCACCGGTTAATCGGCGTGTGACAACAACGGTAATCCACCGTGGAGGGGGGGTTAAATATCTTTTAAATGCGTGCGCGTTATACTTTCACTTTCGAAATAAGCGTCAATTGGCAATTCAGCGTCAATTGCTTGAATGGGCAAAAAAAACAACTCGCTGATAATAAAACTTTTATTTATAGACAGAACTTTTATTAGCATAACGAACGAATAAAATATAGACAGAACTTTTATTAGCATAACGAACGCATAAAAATAACCTCATGCATTGGCTGAAAAAGGTTAAAATCGGCAAACTGTGGGCCCAAACAAATAAGAACCATAAAACGTTTATTAACGAATAAGTCAAGTCAAGTCAAGTCACATTTATTTATATAGCGCTTTTCACAATACAGATTGTATCAAAGCAGCTTCACAGTGATAACATGAAAGTAGCACAACACAGATCAACAACATTGCTAAACACTAAATAACCCCAACTGAGCAAGCTCAAAGCAATAAGAAAATAAAATAGGCCTAAATAAATTACACAAAGTTTAAATAAGGTAAAACCCATTAAAAAGAGATGAATATAAAATAAAAACTTCAAAAAGGACCTTAGCCTACATAAATGACATACTTTCACTTTCGAAATAAGCGTCAATTGCAATTCAGCGTCAATTGCTGGAATGGACAAAAAAAAAACAACTCGCTTACAATAAACTTTTATTTATAGACAGAACTTTTATTAGCATAACAAACGAATAAAATATAGACAGAACTTTTATTAGCATAACGAACGAATAAAAATAACCCCATGCATAGGCTGAAAAAAGTGAAAATCGGCAAACTGTGGGCCCAAACAAAGAAGAACCATAAAACGTTTATTAACGAATAAGAAAACAAAATAGGCCTAAATAAATTACACAAAGTTTAAATAAGATAAAACCAAATAAAAAGAGACGAATATAAAATAAAAACTTCAAAAAGGACCTTAGCCTACATAAATGACAGCACTCAAAAAAAAGTAAAACACTATAAATTGGCATTTATTAACATCGCTTCCAGTCTAGAGTCAAAGAACATGACAGTTGAGACAAAGACCGACTTCATGACAAAGACAGTTTTGTCAGAGTTTACATGTTCTTTGCCAGAAAACCGAGCATGTTGACCATCTCTGGCTTAAGATGAGATCTTTTGGGGGTGACTATGTTCCCCATCGTGCTGAACACCCTCTCGGATGCACAGCTTGTTGCACACACGCAAAGATGGCTCTTGGCATGCACTGCGCAGTTTATTTTTAATTATAATGTATGCTCTCTTCTGAACTAAATAATTAAAAATTAGAATTATTTTTAATTAATTCAAATAAATATTTTAGCAAAAACGAATACTTTAAAAAAAGTCAAGACATCGCGTTGTCACGGTGGGAAAGTGATGTCACCGGTGATGGGGCTTAAAACCGGTAACACCATCAACACCGTCTATCGCGGCAAACCTACCGCTGGGTAGACGCCTGAGTTCAGTCTCGGCTCCTCAGCGAAGACATACTGCGGTTGCGTCTGCTTCCTCCTTTTATACCCACCAGGTGGGGCGGAGATACGCTATGCAAATTCCGCAGACCCAAGGCATTTTCATGCCATTGGCTCGTTTTTTAATACTCGAAGAGGATTGGCTTTCTATGCGAAACCCCCATTCTCCGTCATCCGACGTAACGTCCCCGTTCCCTACTCAGGGAACGAGGGTTACATCCGTAACCGAGAAGTTTTGTTAATGAACATAAATTTAACATTAGCTTAGTATTAACTTGAGTTAGGATGCGGATTTACTGTCAACTGACTGTCAAATATGCATTTCGAGACAAAACATGTAATTTGAATATTGCAGCCTGCACTGCAAACTGCTGAAGAAATATTTTTCTATTCAGATATTTATTTGAAGGAAAAATGAAATGTTTGAATGTTCTACCTCATATTTGTGAAATGTTCTCGTGTTTGGCAAGTGTTTGTCATGATATGTTCTGACAATAAAGAGTAGTTTAAAACAACAATTAATGCTCTGGTTTATACAACTTTCACTTAGGAGTAAAAATATGCCTTTAAACTTGAAAGAATTAAAGATTTGACATTTATCGTGATAATTATCGATATCGACTGATATAAAAAAAATTATCGTGATAATTTTTTTGGGCCATATCGCCCAGCCATAGGTGTGGCTTTGGAGAAGCTCTGAAATGAGGGTGGTATCTCATGTTTTCAAAGCTAGCTTACTATTGTTAACCTTTCCAAAATTGCCTACCCTACCTTTAACAGTTTACTTATACCAGCGTTTTGTTGTGCATTGTGTTGGCACAGTGATTATCACAAAGTTACCTGAATTTTGATTCTGCAAACAATGTTTTGAGCTGAAAACTCACAGTTATGTAGTCAAGTAACTGTATTGAATGAACTTAAGATGAGCATGCTTCACACGACATGTTCCTACTTTTATTCCTTTCCATTTATTAATTTAGCAGGTGCTTGTAGCTTATATCTGCTTGGCAAACAGACAATGTCCTGAGAACAGATGGTTCTTATCTCTACAAGACACACATGGCCAGCGATTTTTAGGGCCCAAGCCCTGAAAGGGCGAAGGCCCTATTGTTTTCCTTAGGATTATTATTATTATTAGGGCCCAAGCCCTGAAAGGGCGAAGGCCCTATTGTTTTCCTAAGGATTATTTATTAGGGCCCAAGCCCTGAAAGGGCGAAGGCCCTATTGTTTTCCTAAGGATTATTTATTATTATTATTTTGTAACCTTTTGGGCATTTTTGGGGCCCTTAACGTGCTCGAAAACTCTTGAAACTTTGCACATGGGTCAGAACCCGCGGCCATCAGAGCCGGGCTGAAGCTGGTACCCGGGCGTGGCAGGGCGGCTCGTCAGCGCCCCCTGGAACGGGGTCCGAACACTTGGTCCATAACTCAAACACGTTTGTATGTAATAATATGAAACTCTGTGCACATGTTGATCTCATAGTTTCATCTATACCTCGCGCTTTTACTTTTTACCCCAGCCCAACATGAAGTCGGCTATTGAGGTTTGTTTGTAAAACGCTCGCAATGGAATGTTAAATACTCCTCCTAGAGCTTTGATCCAAATTCGACAAAACTCGGTCAGCATGAAGTCAAGACATTGAGGATGAAAGTTTGCGAGGGGATTTTTGATATCTCGAACGGTTTGGCCGTGGCGAGGAAACGAAATCATGACGAGAAACGTGAACCAGGAAGTGTGTTATAACTTCAGCATACATTAACTGATCTTGATGAAACTTCAGCAGTGTGTTCGCTGTAAGAGGACGATCACATGGATGTGACTATTGTGAGTCAAAGTTATAGCGCCACCAACTGGCAGCAGGAAGTGTGTCACTTTCAAAATTCTTTGATATCACCCTTTTATTTTTACCCGATTTGCTTCAAACGTCATCTGTATAATGTAAACATACGGCAGATGTAGACCTGTGAATGGATTCTTGATATCTTTGAAACTGTTGCCGTGGCGACGCATCAAATGTTACCATTCTTTTAGGATGCTTTTGAGACCCTTAGCATGCTTGAAATTGCATGAAACTCGACAGACACATCACATTTATTAGCCAGTAGACACGTGCAAAGTTTCAGAAACGGGCGTGGTGAGGGCTCAGTAGCGCCACCTTTTGACAAAAGTGGGGTTGTTAGTTTTATCTACAGTTACAAAAATCG